CTGATTAGTAAATAACATCATCATCACCCTAGGTTCAGTCTGATTAGTAAATAACATCATCATCACCCTAGGTTCAATCTGATTAGTAAATAACATCTTCATCACCCTAGGTTCAGTCTGATTAGTAAATAACATCATCATCACCCTAGGTTCAATCTGATTAGTAAATAACATCATCATCACCCTAGGTTCAATCTGATTAGTAAATTACATCATCATCACCCTAGGTTCAATCTGATTAGTAAATTACATCATCATCACCCTAGGTTCAATCTGATTAGTAAATAACATCATCATCACCCTGGGTTCAGTCTGATTAGTAAATAACATCATCATCACCCTAGGTTCAATCTGATTAGTAAATAACATCATCATCACCCTAGGTTCAATCTGATTAGTAAATTACATCATCATCACCCTAGGTTCAATCTTATTAGTAAATAACATCATCATCACCCTAGGTTCAATCTTATTAGTAAATTACATCATCATCACCCTAGGTTCAGTCTGATTAGTAAATAACATCATCATCACCCTAGGTTCAATCTGATTAGTAAATAACATCATCATCACCCTAGGTTCAATCTGATTAAGGAATAATTAAGACTCGTCTAACATCAAGTCTTTGAATGCCACAGTCAAATGTAGGCTTTGACGAAGTGGAACCCTGGACAATTATTTCTAAATATTCTTACATGAAATCTTTCTTCTTTCTTTTCCTTAACATTACCATCTTTGACTATTCATTGAACATATTTCTAAAACCACACCAGTCCATTACAATCCTGTCATACTGATGGTGCGGCAGAATTTATCACTAAATTCTAATCCAATATCCGGGTAATTATTTAACTGTGGTCCAGTTTTTTTCAATCTATCCTTATCTAGAAGCTCGATTTAAATACTGTCATAAATATATAGTTCATTGCCAAAACATCTCAAAAACTTTATATACAGTCCTAGGATATAGAGACTCTAGTTTCATTCTTCTATTACATAACATAATTCACATTCAACTTTCCCAATATTTAATATCACTAGCTCCATAAATACATTTATAAATATTCTCTTTCTGCTTGTATTTCAAGTAGGGACTGGTTCTACACCCTCTGAGTTTTATTGTGTTTGCATATACAAATAATATAAATGATGCTCAATACTCCGAATATCAGTCAATTCATCAGTTCAGTCCTGAACAGTCACCTTATAAACAATACAAGCCTGTTTAAACAGTTAATCTTCAGATAATAACTATACTGTTTTTATAGTTAAATAGTAATTCAACGAGAACACAGAATTAAACCTCGTATTTCCTTGATAAAGAATGTAATAAAATGTATAATTATTAATCTTAATGTCTAGGGACTTCCTTACTTGACTTATTTTAATACAAAGCGAATTCTAACCTAAAATACACAGCTCAAGCTCGACATAAAATATATGGTTATTACTGTATTTAACCCATATATATATATATTAATGATTCTACTGCTACATCTTTCATTCAGCTACACTAGTTAGATAGGTAGGTAGGTAGGTACGCTGGCCATAACAACCCTGGTTTACAATCACAACCAAAAAATAAAACCAAGAATAATAGTTTCCAATGATTTCTCTGGCACTAGCACCTGATATTCCAGATAAACACTACGATCTAGAAAAGAGATACACTGTGTTTGCTGATGATTCGGGTCTATCAACTATTGTAGCACGCTATGATCTGTTAGATCACTGTTAAAACACTCTTTTCAGTTTGTAATAAACACGACATTCTAAAATATATCCACACGACGATACCACAAGTTTAGCGAGCACCTACATATTCAATAAAGCAGGCAAGTAAAGTGGTGAAAACAGACAGATTTCCTGTATTTAAAAATCAAGTTAAAAATCAAATAATACCAGCATAATCTTAAGAACTACACAACACATAGATATACACAAAACCAAAACAAAATAGTCAAAATAAACTGTTTATCCAGATCCAACTGTTGTACTGCTGTATTGTTGTACTGTTGCTCTGTTGTACTGTTGTACTGTTGTACTGCCGTTCGGTTGTACTGTTGTTCTGTGAAATGAAGTCAATAATCAGATAATCAGATCAAATCAGCAAGATCTACAGGTGACAGAGATTTACAAATTCTCAGAACACCCAACATTAGGTCATATGTCAAGGTTGATTCTCTGTATTCTTATCAGATCAGCTTGACGGCATATTAAACCTCTTTTACTGTCAAATCATGCAGTATAATTTTGTAATGTTTTCAACGAGATGTTTGGTTAACGAAATCGTTTTGCTTGTTTGCTTGTTTGCTTGCTTTTTATCATATGTCACTCTTTCACTGTCTGATACAGATAGTATTATAACTCTTTTTATAAATCAACAGACTAGAAATTATACCTCTATATTCAACTATTGATACTTCAAAGAAACAAGAATTGAATTCCAAAGACCTATATGTACCAGGATAGAGAAGAATTCGACAGAAAGAATTCGGGACTCGCCTTCAGTCTCTGAAAGGTGTTAACAGTAAATTTCAGAATACTGAACTCCATCAATAATATTTATCATAGTTTTAAAGATTATGCTGGTTGGAAGGTAACTAGTTTCTATTCAACAGAAGGCACTGGCACAGGATAAAAGAACAGAGCAAGAGCTAGTACTATTCATTGACCCTATTCATGAGGGTTTTGGGTATTCAGGGCGTACGTGAACTAGAGTCAGACGACAACTAGCTTAGGCTGATAGCGATCTGTTTTGGGTGTAATAGATCTGTTGTATAATAAAGTCGGTTAATCCAAACCGGGGGTAAATTTAGACCGTACAAGATGAAGTCAATGAATGTTGATAATCTATTTTAAGATAATCTGTTAGAGATTTTTCACGTGGTCAACATTCAGAGGACTAATATAGTTCGTTCGAGTGTTTTTTTTAACAATATATGATTATGTTTATTATGTAATATATAAGTAATTTTCATTAATCAAAACAAAGTCGAATATCACTGGTAAATATCAGGAAATAGACAAGTTGAATTTTTTTTTAGTTAATCTCAGCTCTTAATCTCAAGGACCAAGCAATGGCTTCACCTGATGGAAATCTCACTCAGTTACAAACAAAATCACCCAAAACTCTCATTATTTTATACGTCACTAATAGCACACGGATAATATTTAGCCTGTCAAAAGTCATTAAGTTCAAAAACATTACAAACTATTAATACCTATAATCATATCGACGACTATTGTCTTTTGATCATTATGTCACGTGACTGCCCGAGGAGTGAGAACATCAAAGTATCTATTGATACTTTTAGTTATTTACACTTATCGTTTACAGTTCATTGGTTTGAAGGCCACGTGTTGAAATAACACGGAGTTTTACGTCCAGTAGTTTGTGGGACTTAACATCGTGATATTTTGAATAATGAGATATATCAAACCGATATTTTATGAAACTAAATTCTCAATGGGGTTTGATATGGTAATAATTTACTAGAAATTCATTTGGATCCTGATTTGGCCAATCTTGTATTTCCCGGAGAAATTATGCACAGAAATTTGACGGAAATGAAGCGTGTAGAGTGGGAGTGGTATAAAATTACTGTCAATCAAATGTAGTGTGGTACTTCCGATATAGAAATAGCTTGTCATTACAGAAGACAGGTTAATAGTATGTACTTTTTGTATAGTTGATGATTTATCTTGTCAGTCTCCAAGTCTAATTATTCAACAGAATCCAAACATAATACCTAGAGGACATATGAGACCAGTAAACCAACTTTAAATAAGTTGATGTCATCTAGGATGGTGAGGTAAACATTTGGGTGGATTCAGAGTAACAAAGGTCGACACTGAAAAAGTACTTGTTCAATTTTGACATTTTGTATTCAGTGTTGTGTTTTGTGATTGGTCAATGACTACAACTGATTTAATAATCTAGTTTTATTAACCAATCATATTCTACCTTCTAAATGTTATCTGAAATTATTTTGTAAGAGTTTAGTACTGAACTATTTTAAATATTTACCTTACTGAGATAATAAATTGAAGAGCAAAGTATAAGAGACACCCTCCTCGTTTATATCACCTGGTATCAGTTGAAGCTTGTGATTTGGTTATCAACCAGGATAGGGTTTATAAAGATAGTATCAGATATAACGACTATACGCCCAATTCAGATTATATTTTAGTATCCATAATGTACATACTTCAAGGTATTTTTAAATAAACAGTTTTTATTGACAAAGATAAAAAATTGAAACAAAGAACAAAGCAGTTACCAGTGATAATACATTTCTTCCTGTTTTAATATAATTATACATGTTGTGTAAGTTAATAGATTTTGGGATGGGAGCTCAACTATTTGACTCGACAGGTTAATTAAGAAATACTACACCATAATATTGATTGTGGTGATCGGAGATGTAGAAAATGACATTAGACGTAAAGCAAGTGTCAGATGACAAGGTTTTTTGACGTCCAAGGCAAAGATAAATTTTGTTGTGCTATTCGAGAAAACGAGCTCGGGTTAAATACCTCCCATAATAGTTTCATCAAATTAAGTTCACTGATATTAAACACCAAAACTATCTATTACAACCCTGACAAACCCTGACCCTGACAAACCCTGACCCTGACAAACCCTGACAAATCTGTACTCTTAGTTTCACAGAAAATGAGCAAATGTTAATTTGTAAGATAAGATAAGAATTTATAACTGGACCAATTTTTATCTCAAATTTGACCTTTATTTTCTAGCTCAATATAAATATTTATTTTCATATTTTATAGATAATATTACGCTTGTTGGTTAGTTCTTTAACATTTATGTCAAAAAACTCTTAAGTAAGAAATCTATATATAGGTTAAAAAACCAACTTACAAATAATGTCAACCAACTTACAAATAATGTCAACTAACATACAAATAATGTCAACTAACATACAAATAATGTCAACTAACTTACAAATAATGTCAACCAACTTACAAATAATGTCAATCAACTTACAAATAATGTCAACCAACTAACAAATAATGTCAACCAACTTAAAAATAATGTCAACCAACTTACAAATAATGTCAATTAACTTACAAATAATGTCAACCAACTTACAAATAATGTCAACCAACTTACAAATAATGTCAACCAACTTACAAATAATGTCACCTATATAGGTGAATATTGATGAATAATTGGTGAATAATTGGTGAATAATTGGTGAATAATTGGTGAATATAGGTGAATATAAGTGAATATTGGTGAATATAGTTGAATATAGGTGAATATAGGTGAATATAGGTGAATATAGGTGAATATAGGTGAATAATTGGTGAATAATTGGTGAATATAGGTGAATATAAGTGAATATTGGTGAATATAGTTGAATATAGGTGAATATAGGTGAATATAGGTGAATATAGGTGAATATAGGTGAATATAGGTGAATATAGGTGAATATAGGTGGTGAATATAGGTGAATATAGATGAATATAGATGACGGGAAATGTTGACACAATCATCCTGTTAACGACAACTGAATGAAACTCAGAGAAAATAGAGTAGAAAGGAAATAGAGAATTCTAACTGAATGAAAGTGGGGTGATTTATCATTACTGTCAACTGAACGGGAACAAACGTTCTATCATACATGTCATACTTCAACCACAACCTGCTATCTCATATCTTGTCTATCTTTAATAAACTAATATAATACCTTGTCTCTCTTTAATAAACTACTATCATACCTTGTCTATCTTTAATAAACTACTATTATACCTTGTCTATCTTTAATAAACTACTATTATATCTTGTCTCTCTTTAATAAACTACTATCATACCTTGTCTATCTTTAATAAACTACTATCATACCTTGTCTATCTTTAATAAACTAATATAATACCTTGTCTCTCTTTAATAAACTACTATCATACCTTGTCTATCTTTAATAAACTAATATAATACCTTGTCTCTCTTTAATAAACTAATATAATACCTTGTCTATCTTTAATAAACTACTATTATATCTTGTCTCTCTTTAATAAACTAATATAATACCTTGTCTATCTTTAATAAACTACTATCATACCTTGTCTATCTTTAATAAACTAATGTCATATCTTGAAGTAAATGTTTGGAAACTCATAATAGGCAGTTGTTGTATTTGTACCTGTAAATGCGTTCCTGGGAAAGCTCTTGAAACATTTTCAAAGCGTACTTTATATAGGAACGTAGACTGAAAAAGGTCAGTTGTCTGTACTATGAGTTACAACACGTCTCAGGTTCTGTTTAAATATTTCTATTAATCAGATTATATTTTTGTGGACTATGCCTAAATTTCTCCTGAATTGATATCAATATATTCAGTTTATGTAGTACAAGGTTTGCAAGGTAACCAAGGGAGAAATTAACATTTAATGGTTACTTGTACATGATCAACATGTTAGTTTCAAGTCTCTCGAGGCCTCTACCAATGTAATATTGTCAAGTCCCTGTTGTTTTAAAATAAACACCATGAGAAACTAGTTTCAGCTCATACAAATCGTGATCTTAAACATGAAATAAATATCTTTTAAACTTATTGAACCATCAAGTTTCAATTTACTTCCTACTGCAGAGTTTTCAATAAAACATATTATTATAGGGTCGTCTCTTTTATATATCAATAAAATAACAGTACAGAGACAGAGACAGAGTCATCCGACTTCGTATTTATTTGGGTTAATGCCTGAGACTTAAACTGTGTATATAATGTTCGATGAATTTTTGATTGACTCCTGGGACCTATATTGTGTACGAAATATTTTATTCTAACAATATTCTAGTTAGATAAATTTCGTAAAGTGGTAAAATGACATTTTTTGAATAAATCTGTGATTTGAATTATTTATTGATTTATCAGATTTACTTACTACTGTATAATAGGGTATGATTCGTGTTGAAAAAAACAACGTAATGCCACCTTTTTATATCATGAGACCCTGAAAGTCGCAATGATCTTAAAATTTTTATATCTGTTAGATTCTTATTTTATATTAACATAATTTGTATTATATTTTTTATGAAGTTATAAACGGTATTAGTTGAATAATAAACCGTAGCTTGACGACTGTTTTAACTCATACTCAAGACCAGATTATAGTCTTGTTTAGCAAGTTAAAAATATATATAATTATTTTTACAAGCCCTGAGCTATTTTGTCTTACATCGTTAACTTGCTTTCTTACTTTTTACAGGTATTCAACTTTTATATTCTACTTTCATACCTTATTAGATTGAGTATATTGTCCTACTCTTCTATCTCTGTACTTTCTTGAGCTAATATAATAGAGCTAACGTCCTACTCTTCTATCTCTGTACTGTGCTGAGCTAATGTAATAGAGCTAACATCTTACTCTTCTATCTCTGTACTGTGCTGAGCTAATGTAATAGAGCTAACATCTTACTCTTCTATCTCTGTACTGTGCTGAGCTAATGTAATAGAGCTAACGTCCTACTCTTCTATCTCTGTACTGTGCTGAGCTAATGTAATAGAGCTAACATCTTACTCTTCTATCTCTGTACTGTGCTGAGCTAATGTAATAGAGCTAACATCTTACTCTTCTATCTCTGTACTGTGCTGAGCTAATGTAATAGAGCTAACGTCCTACTCTTCTATCTCTGTACTGTGCTGAGCTAATGTAATAGAGCTAACGTCTTACTCTTCTATCTCTGCACTGTGCTGAGCTAATGAAATAGAGCTAACGTCTTACTCTTCTATCTCTGTACTGTCTTGAGCTAATGTAATAGAGCTAACATCTTACTCTTCTATCTCTGTACTGTGCTGAGCTAATGTAATAGAGCTAACATCTTACTCTTCTATCTCTGTACTGTGCTGAGCTAATGTAATACAGCTTACATCTTACTCTTCTATCTCTGTACTGTGCTGAGCTAATGTAATAGAGCTAACGTCCTACTCTTCTATATCTGTACTGTGCTGAGCTAATGTAATAGAGCTAACGTCTTACTCTTATATTATCTCTATACTGTCCTGAGCTAATGTAATAGGGCCCACGCCTTACTCTTCTATTTATGTACTGTCCTGAGCTAATGTAATAGAGCTAAGATCTTACTCTTCTATCTCTGTACTGTGCTGAGCTAATGTAATAGAGCTAACGTCTTACTCTTCTATCTCTGTACTGTGCTGAGCTAATGTAATAGAGCTAACACCTTACTCTTCTATCTCTGTACTGTGCTGAGCTAATGTAATAGAGCTAACATCTTACTCTTCTATCTCTGTACTGTGCTGAGCTAATGTAATAGAGCTAACATCTTACTCTTCTATCTCTGTACTGTGCTGAGCTAATGTAATAGAGCTTACATCTTACTCTTCTATCTCTGTACTGTCCTGAGCCAATGTAATAGAGCTTACATCTTACTCTTCTATCTCTGTACTGTGCTGAGCTAATGTAATAGAGCTTACATCTTACTCTTCTATCTCTGTACTGTGCTGAGCTAATGTAATAGAGCTAACATCTTACTCTTCTATCTCTGTACTGTCCTGAGCTAATGTAATAGAGCTAACGTCTTACTAAATTTTGTCATAATTTTTGTCCTATTTTATCATTACTTCATTGACCAATGAATTGGCACAACTTATAATTTCTTATTGCAATTACAATACAATATTTGTGGTCTGTATGAGAGTAGTAGTGAGAGTGGTGGGAGGTAATTAACGTCCAGTCTAGTGTATACTGAAATAAACGGAGCTTCAACAGTGAGCAAATCATCTAATTTACCTGTTCTAAGAAACAAGATACAGTTATCAGTACAGTCTATAACTTATACTGTTTTATCATCGATTGTTTCTAACACAAAGTCAGTTATCTTATCTCGTTTTATCGCGCGTTATCTCGGGGCGATCGTGGTGTTATGGGGTACCAGTGTCGATCTGTTGCTTTTATCGTTCCCTAGATGATACTTATGTTACAGTTTTCTTGGAAAGAGGCACAATCACCAAAATTTTTGGTCTGATACAGCAATATCTATTTAAACACGGTCTCAGTAAAAAATGAAATGAAATATGTTAAGGGGCATTAGAACAATGACAAGTTAAAAAACTCAACTCAACTCAACTCAACCGCCCCATTAAAGATTTGAATAAAAGATATTCATGCCCCCAAATCGTGTTCTATTTGACAGTTTAATAATATCACATTCAAGCCATATTTTCCCCTGTTAACAGTATAAAGAAGTTTCTATGCTGCGTGAAATTTGAGATAACGAGAATATTTGAGGAGAGGAAATCCTTCCAACTTCCGTGTATCTATAGCAACTATAGTCCAAAACACTCGCATCTTTTTAAAATATTCAGTCAAATTAGAGTCATATACAATCAGAAGTTCGGTATTTTAAATTTGTTTTCTGTCAGGGGTAGTGGCAAGTATGTATGGTAAAAAATGGACGGATTTGTGGTTTGATACAGATAACAATGTTTGGGGTCCAGATTGAGGGAATGAGTCTCGGACTAAGATTATGACATTCTAATGATGTCAACTGAAATACTGCCTTCTCGAATTGTCTATTAATTATTACAGTATAACATTTATATCATAACATTATAAACAATCTATAGTAATATATAGTTAATAACCACAACACTGGTTATATTGTCTAGTAATTATTACAGTATAACATTTATATCATAACATTATAAACAATCTATAGTAATATATAGTTAATAACCACAACACTGGTTATATTGTCTAGTAATTATTACAGTATAACATTTATATCATAACATTATAAACAATCTATAGTAATATATAGTTAATAACCACATATTGTCTAGTAATTTCAGACCACCAGACTATATAAGTATATAGGTGATAGGTGTTGTAAGTCCATATCAGACCGAAAATAAATATTGTTTATTTAGACCTACGGTCAATAGAGTTGTTGATATTATCTGACTACCACCAATGTTATTTTGTCTAGCTTTGACCTTAGAAACTACGAGTTTTAAGTGACACCTAAATTTAGGTTAAGTTAATTACCAAGATGATGGATAGTCCGTCAAATTATATGTCAAATTCTATCTACGCAATTTCTCTGTCCAACCATCGTTATTCTTTCTTCCGTTCATTTATATTTTTGATGTTTTCTAGTCCACTGTCAAAATACCGAATTTCAGATTGGTCCATTCATTATTTTTCTTCATTGTCTTTAATAAAAAAACTTATTTCAGGTGACGAAATGAAGTACACACCGTTCAACAATCATAGAACTTTTTGTTACCCGGAGGTATTTTCCAGTTGTAACAGTTCATACGACCTTAACTTGAAGATCGATGACATGAAGGATGTTCGATTTCTCAAACAAAGTGTCACAGTTGATTTTCTATAATATATTGGTAAATTCCCTACTGATCTCTCCGATAAAAATTAATAATAATATTTTATAATTTGAACAAGTTACGCCTACATTTTTTTTTCAATTTATTTTTACGTATCTATATTTGCTGTCAAACTT